AGTAGAGAAGCTGAGAGAGTAGAGCACTGAAATACAAATAAGTAAAGATTTGGAGTCACGTGAGAAAGGCACGTGACTCTGACAGTTCTGTTTGGATGGTAATGGGAAATAATTTTCTTTAGAAAAATTTTATAAATTATTTTTCTTTTTTTATGGAAATTAATTTTATAACATCATCTTGTTATAACCGCTAAAAAAATATTTGAACAAATAATATTGATAAAGAAGTTCTGCTGTATAGTTTAAAGTTATATTGTTGTGAAAGTAAGATAATGGCTGGTGGGACAAGGGAGTGCATACAAAGCCGATTTTGGGACCACTATTACTTAATTCACTTTTTATATTCGAAATTTAAGCTTTGTTTTTTTAATTTTTACAAAAAAAAATTAGAATCGTATCTAAAATATCAACGATAGATTCTATCGAATTCAATAATTTTGATTACTATATTAAAAATTATTAAAATTCATAAATTTTAAATTCTTATTTCGCATTGTAAATCTACTATCTGTGTGATTTCTTACTAAGCAATGTGTTCTATTTATGATTTTCAATATCTAAAAGAAAAGTGATATGTGTGAGCATGATTTTTTAGACATGTGTTATTATCACGTAGTTCAATTATTATGTCTTTTTGACCACCCAAAGGAACTAGTATTCTGACACTGGGGTGCTGCATGTTGCAAATGTGTTGATAAAAATATTTTTGTGCTTAATATATATATCTAGAAAGGGGTGCTAGCAACGGTTCATTAATTAATTTAACTCAGTCTTTATATTATTTTATATGTAGAAACATGCTCATAATTGTTTAGAGAACGGCTGGCTAGCGTTAGAGGAATTCTCTACAAAGATATCTAAATTGTGAAATTAAAGTATTCATCTGTTATGTGAAGATTTTGATGATCAATAATTCGAATCATGATTACTGAAGATCAAGGAGAAGAAGAGTACCATAAGTTTCAAATAAAATTCAAATATTTGGAATCTATGGTCAAATGCCTACTTAGACAATGGATTGATCCAAATCCTATATATCCGATGTCAAAAAATATCAAATTTGAATCTACAATTTCAAAAGTAAAGTATTTAAGCGCGTCGAACTCATAAAGTTTGAATCTTGAATGTTGAATCTGGCACAGATTCTATTTCATATAATAAGTGATGCACTAATAATTCAACAAGATCTCAATACCTCAAAATCAACACAAGGATACATTTTCGTAGAAATGTTCTTATGATATACTAAACACAGTAAAGAAAAACAAAGAAATGGCAGTCATCAACTTCGTACTTCATACATTTCTGAGAAACTACATAAATTACGCGTTTGAAGTATGCAGTTTTAACCAAACCATTGTAATTTACTATAGTCACGAAGTAAATATCAGATATGAGTAAGTTCTATCTTGTGTAGACTCGTAAAGGTAAGAGTTCTGTAAATGGCACCACACTAGGACTGCTCAAACTTATGAACTTCCACTCTGGATTAGGGAAGAATCAACCCTTGGAAAACAATAGTCCTATTGTCCAGGAGCCCCAGAATGAAATTGCTAATGTTGTAGTCGTCTTTGTTCAGCAAAACAACTTTGTCACGCGTGTTCCTCTACCACAATGTGTCTGGGCTCTCGTTGAGGACAAGTTAACAGCTGCAACTGCACATTTTCACCACTTCAGTCCTAAGAGTTCTATAGACAGGGGCGAGAAGGGAACCACCATGATGAACATGGATAAAAATTGCTGCTTCACGCCTGCTGCAAACTGTTGACTATAACAGGCCCACCATCCCTCTCACTTAACAAACCTCGCTTGGAACTTTTGCTAACGAATAAACCACTTTTCATCTCTTCCGTTTCTTCAAAAGTGATGCAGCTTGCAGAATAATCTTATCAACCTCATCAAGACCTGGTGTGTCGACATCTTTACCTGGTGATTTCTCTTTCCTCGAGTTAGAAGAGATTTGACGCAAATGCTCCTCGAAATCCTGTTCATCTCCATTACTTTGCACTGGAAACTTTTCAAACACATCCAAATATAGTGGTTCTTCAGCTTTCTCTTCATGCTCTTCCTCAGAGTCTGTCTCAAAAATATCTGAAAGATCTTCAGAATCTGAGCATATATCTGTATCTACCATGGAATCATTTTCTTCACCCTGTTCTTCATTTTCAACCATTATCCGTTTGAGCTTATCAGATGCCTCAAGTTGCTGATCTGAACGGTGTTCAGGGTGAAATTTCTCAAAGCCAACCTCTTGATTTTTGTCAGGAGCATCAGTTTCATTTTCAGCTTGCAACCGAAGCAGCTCAAGATCTTGCTCCAGGCGTGGAATGTATCTCTCAACAGCTCTTAAGGAATCTCTGTATTTAGATTTATCCAAGGCCTGTGTAAATGGGCAATAACAAAAATAAGAGCGCGAAAAAGTGGGAATGTACATAATAGCATACACAAAAGTTAGCAGACAGTAAGTGAACCTTTTTCCTGGAAAGAGTACTTCTTGGAGACATTATCTCAGTTGGTGGTTGAGAGTAATTCTTTCCCCTGTACATTATAATGGTGTCATCATCCTGGATATCAAGAACAATTCCACCACTTAATCTTGCAAGCTCTACAGCAATTTCCTTAACCTCCTCAGGAGAGAACGTTTTCACCACCACTTTCAGAGTTTGGTGCTTCTTCCAATGCAAATGCATATTAAGGATCACACCCTGGTATATCCCACGTCTTCCAACTGGTACATAATTCTTGCACTTCTCCCCCATTTTCAGGAAGTAGAAGTGTTCTTCTGGTGTCAATATTTCTGGGTCATGAGTAGCTTCCGATATCTCCTTAGGCTCAACCTTCCTAAGAGCTTCAACAAGCCTCTCCTCTTTCTTCCGTGCCTAGAAAGATGAAATTTTGCAATCCCTAAATACTTCAATTGTATTTGACAGTCAACATAAAGTAGGTGGCGCAACCCATCCATAATTGTGTTGGATCCCAAATTGCCATAAAGTAATAATCCAAAGAGCAATCTATTCTTTAGCATCTATTGGCAAGTAAATAAGTGAAGAAACTAATGTCACAACTATCAATAAAAACAGTTATAGATTTGCAAATGACACCACAATCAGCACAACTGAAATATCATTTTGATATGACTAGATTGCTACCGACAGTCCATTAAATTATTTAACCTCAACAAAGTCATATATTAGAAACACATAATTCTAGGTTCAGAAATGGCAAAGGGTAATACTTTCAGGAAACAAAAGATTAGAACAGGCATATCTAGATAACTAGTCCTTTCCCATAAACTTTAATTAGAATAAAACATATAAACAAAAAGACCCACAATCTCTAGGACGAGATGCAGATTTAACAGAAAACAGGAAAAGGTATAACCAAAGGATCTACATTAAAGATACAAACTAGTTGGGATCAAGACTTATTTGTTCTTACACTTGCATTAGATCCATATTTGTTAAGACATTCTTCTTAGGCACACTATAGACTTGAATGTCAGTGAAGGGGATATTAATATTATGAGTATTGGAATGAAATGATGCCAGATACAGTGAAATGGATATAGAAGATTCAAATAGCCGACCTTAATTAGGTAGAGATTGAGGTATAGCTTACTGATTCATTCAAAGGAAATACACAAGCTAAGACAATTTCAAGAGTTGTCAAACGCAAAAGAGTATGGTATTTCAAACAGATTGAAGCTACCAAAACCCGTGCAGCATAAGTAGTTCAAAGTTCAAACATCATCTATTTATCTTTACAACCGTGGAGTCAGGCCAGTTTGCGCATACCTCGACTAATTCCACAAGTACCTGTGACCTTCACCAGCATAGGTGCCGGTTTACTTCAAACATCATCTTACAAAACTTCCACTAGACTAAATAACATGCTACAAGAAAAGCATTACCTTCCTCAATTTAAAAAGGATTCTTTCTTCAGCTGTCATCCTTTGGAACTCTTTCTTCTTCTTCCACCTGAAGAACTTCAACCACTTCACAACCTGTCTTTTACCCTTCAGTTTCTTCCTCTTGATTTTATCTTCTTTAAACTCACCGGAACTCTCAGCAACAACATCATTACCACCGCCATTCGACGTTTCCCCTTCCCCAGCTTTGCCAGCCGTACAGTAATACCGGCCCGAATTTATCAATCCAAAATCCCATTTTTGTACGATTAAGCGTGGCCCAACTATGACTTCTCTTTCAAAAACCTTGCATACTGCATTAAATACACTAACATATCATCATGAGATTAGCACAATCACTTCAAATTAAACAGTTATCAGTGTAAATGCATGATTTTTGCAGAAACAAATTCAGAATTTGAAGAAATAGTACCTGGTTTGCTGGGGAACGGAATGGGGTAAAACGGGTTGGAAGATGAAACGGCAGCAGAAGAGATGTTGTAGCTGCCGTGATTTGCAGAGCGTCGCCGGAAAGAAGAAACCTCGCCGGAGCATTTTTCACACTTTCTGGTGACCGACGGGGAACTAGTCTCCGGGAATAGCTAAATGGGTCTAAATTGGATACTTAGCAAATGGACTTGGGCTAGTATGGTCTATTTTGAAGGCCCAAACCATCACTCGTGAATCTTTTAACAAATAGCCACTTTTAGCTCGGAGCTTTAAATTCTAAGACATTGTTAGGGTGTTTCACCTGTAAAACTTGAAACTACATGGTCGGAAACTGGTAAATACTACTTCTAATATTCTTTTACACATAATTTGCTTATACTAATTGTTAGGTGTGCTAAATTTAGCGCATAAAAATATAGCATGTTCATCTTGTTTAGATGATATTTATTAGCGAGTTATTTTGAATATAGCTTCAATTAGCTTATCTAAAAGTTTAAGCTAATTTGAATGGCATATCTATTCATTAAAAAGGTAAATAATCCAAGATTAAAGAAATATGACTTGTATTGCTTCTTTCAAAGGGTCACATACAAAAAAAGGATATATATACACAAGTAAGTATATACCCTTTTCTTTTTAATAAATTTCATGTTAATGAAAATCCGCCACCTTTCATCATTTGTCTAAATTCTTTAAAATCAACCATCCCATCACCATCCACGTCGACTTTCATGATCATCCTCTTACAATCTTCCAAAGTTTTTCCTTGTTTCAATCCTAATGATCCCAAAACGGACCTTAATTCTTCCACCGTTATATATCCATCTCCATTTTGATCAAACACGTTGAACGCTTCTCTCATATCCTCCTCTTCGTCCTTCTCATCCATGATTGACTTGTACAATGTCCCGAATTCATCTATATCGATATATCCATCTCCGTTTACGTCTATTTTTTCAATCATATGAACAAGTTCTTGTTCCTCAATGTTTATTCCCAAGCTTTGTAACGAATCGTTGAGCTCCTTTTTCGTTATCGTTCCATCTCCATTACGATCAAACATTTGGAAAATTCTATTTAGCTCTACGGGGTCCATTTCTTAGATGAAATTACAAAGAGAATGATGTAAAATAAACCCTTTGAAGGTTTTAGTATAAAAAGGATTTGGGTTTGGGATTGATGATGTTAAAAGAAGCATGAAAATGTGAGAGAAAATAACAAGGGAAATAATATTTCTGAGAAGATAGAAATAAATGGCTAAGGGGTTTAAATGGTGGAGGAAAATTAAGAAGGGTGATTTGAGGACCCCCACTAATTTCGTGGAATCAATGATATTCTTTTTAAGATATAAAAATAGACACAAGATTCAAGAATATCTAATTCCACATTTCTTGGTGACTTTATTAATTATTATTCCGTATCAACTATTAGTTAACATAAATTAGATTTGTTTCAAAATATTTGACGTTTTAAAAGGTACACTTTGTTCAAATCTAACTTTATTGCTCCAATTTAGTGGTGTATTAAATTTTTTGGAGATAGATAAATGATAGTCTAAGCAATCGAGAAATAGATAATATGGACCAATAAAAGCACCTTATATTATTTGTTGTACATAGATTATTATGTTGTTTTGTTGCCGTTTATCTGTTATTTTTGTTTTGATTGTTATTTCTTGTACTTCAGTTGCTTTTTTTTTTTAGATAACTTTGGATTGTTTTTCTTGAACCAAAGGTTTATCAAAACAACCTATCTATCTCTTAGATTGGAATAAGATTTGGGTACGTTTTACCATTCCTATACCTCACTTTGTGAGACTAGTGTTTATGTTTTTTTTTTTTAGTGATATGTTATTCTCGTTTTAATTTTTAATTGCTTAGTTTGATATAAATATCGGGTATGAGTAAGTAGTTACTCCGTTTGAGTAGGTGAGTTTGGACGGCATCTCTTGAAATATGTCATTGTGGAACTCATGTCTGTAGACGTGAGGTAAAGGTTTAGGACCACGTAAAATATAGTGGTGGGTATACTATACAAGTACTAGTATGCATCCAGCTAAATATAGGCTGGAGAAATTGATAGATTCAACAATATAAAGTCGTAATAAGTGGCCTTTCATTCATTGTAGGGACTCTTAAATCTGATTTTGAGTTACTCCGTTGTTCATGGCGGATGTGCTGCAAAGATTAAGGAGACCAGAGAATGCTGTCGAGGTGGCAAAATTGGCCCATGAAACATGACCGGCCAAACTCAAACAAAAAACAATGTTAGTTGTGTTGGTAGATATAGCGAAAACACTTTTAGGTGTGCAAGTGCCCATTGAATTAGTCGAGATGTGTACATGCTTGTATGTATGAGGGTGTGTTGCTCATGCCTAACTGCTAAAGACAGTAAGAGGCCATAAACCAATTGTCTATCCTGTTCAACATGGGTTAAAGGAACAAAAACCAGAAGCATCAAACTTGTTAATCCAGAAATTTTGGAAATCTAATTTCATTAACTAACAGCTACTACATTCTGCATTCACCGTCCACTGCATTTCACTTGGCGTGGAAGCCATAAATCTGATAGATAGGTTAGTTCCAATAATTAGGTCGTTGTTGACTTGTCTGCAATGCATACCGACTAAAAAAGATCTATCCAACTTTATCATATTGGCTTCCCAAGTTCTATCTTTTAAGATAGTCTTTACATACTGAATGGGAGAGGAGAGAAGAGGGTGCACAACTGACCATCAATAAACAACTGGTCTGTTGCACAAGGTAATTCTTATCGGAGATAGAAATGTATAGTAATGTGATCAAACTGTGTGTCCTCCAAGATCAAATTGTCAAGTATATAGGAATTGAAATCCCATTGCTTGCGAAAACAAAGATATGATTGGTTTTGGATAGTGCTTGCTTGCTCCAAGTATTCAGAAACACAGAAAAGAATACAGCAGCACGGAAATATATAAGCACAAGAACAAGATGCCAAGTAAATGGGAAACTCAATGAAAAATATGCAAGCATAATACAAATTGCTATGTTTAAACAGGTCATGAGATGTGCCAGTGCAATTTTTTCTTGCAAGCTTGTGTTATCGGATTGAGTTGACAAACTCCAGCCAAGAAGCTCGCCATTTTTATTTCCCAATTCTACCTTTTTATCACCTCATCCTTTACACATGTACTACAATTACTACTAAAGAGCTTTATGTGAATGAACACTAAAACGTGGAACTTTGAAGACTTTCTGGCTACTGATATTGAATTTGCTAGTTCGAGCTTCTTGACTTACCCACTGAACTATAAAGTTTACATTCTTCCAAATAAGTCTAAGTGCCTTTATATTCGTGATCTGAACATATGAAAATCTAAGTTGTACCATGAAGATACGGCTCAGTGAAAAGGAGGCTGGTCTAATAGAAGTAAAACGAAACATTTCGAAGGTATATAGACACAAGTACGAGTAAAGAAGGACTAGGGAAGAAATGTCTACATTCATTACAGAGAGAACTATGTAGTGAACACATGGCTAAAAGAACGCATGCAATTGCAATAGACAATGAGTACAAGAATAGCTATGCTTAATGCAATGATAAATATATTTTAAGGTTGATGCTCTCAAGTAGTAAGTTCTGCGTACACTCTACCCTTCCCAGACCCCAATTGTGGGATTACACGGGGTAAGTGTTGTTGCTCTCAAGTAGTATTTCAAGAAAGTAGGCAGACAGGCCAAAATATATTAGTACTCTGATTCAGGTTCATAAAAAAGGGTGTTTATATTTTTTGCCCTTTACTTCATAAAATTTATTACTTTACCAAAACAAAAAACAAAAGAAAGTTCAGAAAGGAAATTTGATGCATGACATTTTTGTGACAGTATGGCAATAGATGAACGTCTAACAGCAGAAACAGATACAGGTCTAAGCCTTATTGCAGAAGTGATGGGAATACTGGAGAATAATAGAAGAAAACATACATCTAGAGCTAACACATGACAATGCTCATAACCTCAAACAAACAGAAAGCTGGCAGAATGTTAGGCAAGGTTAGCAACTGATTGGCCGCCTACTATCCAGTTCTCAGAATGAATTTAGTATGAGCAATGATACTCTGTTACCTTTCTTAAGCATGTCGCATAAAATCTCTTTAGCTGGGATAGTTCCTTGTCCCTAAGGTCCCGATTAGAATCCTAACCCTCCCAATTACGAAAGGGTTTTTTATTTGATCTCAGACATGGCACCACATGTCTTCCTGCTATGGGGTGTGACTAGAATCCTTGCAAACTGAAACAGGAGAATTTCCTCACAATAGAATGAATTTGTGTTACTTTAGAAGGTCAGGGACATAATTTACTCAGTAAATAGTAGATTGTATGTGCCTATAACTAAACGTAATGAATTCTTGTTGCTTTAAAGAGTCAGGGACATAATCTACTCAGTAAATAGTAGATTGTACGTGCCTATAACTAAACATAACGAATTCTTGCTGCTTTAGAGGGTCAGGCACATAATCTACTCAGTAAATACTAGCTTATACACTACAACTAAATAGAGGCACTTCCAGTAGCACCTGATGTTTAGTTGCAGCTAACCGCGACAACGCTCAAGAATTCTTGTTTCTTTAGAAGGTCAGGGACGTAGTATACTCAGTAAATAGCACTCTAGCTAATACATTACAATTAGTTTTCTTTATAGGCACATCCAGTGGTATGCAATCTTTAGTTGCAGGTGGTCTGACGATCAATGGTCAAGAAAGGCGATGATATTTTCCACCTCTCACCAAATTTAGTCGTAGCCATATTTCTCAAGTCAGTAACACATTTTTACAAAGGCATGAACATGAATTTCAGACTATGTGATTGCAGAGGAATTACAAGTTCACAACAACAATTATGCCTTAATCACTAATTAGTTGGGACTTGGGACCAGCAATATGAATCTTTTATATCTACTCCACTCTATCAAACCAATTCCATTCTAGTACCGGTAAATTAAAGTGTCGTCATACCACCAAAGACAGATTGATATTAAAAATAACTCATACAGGAATTGGGAAAGTATTCATTTAAAACGAACAAAGTTGTCAACTTTCAGACAATTTTGACAGAAATTGCCTATCAAGTACCATAAGTTCCACATCTTATTAACTCAAAGCACTAAAATTCCAGTTCACAGATATAGAAAAATATTCATTTTCACCTTTTATGGGATATCCCATGGCTTAGGCTCAGGAATTGCCACAACCATTCCTTGAAGCTCCGGTGAGAGGACCACCTGACAACCCAACCTAGAATGCTTGTTCAAAACCCTAGCCCTAGAGTTCCTCTTCAGCACATACTGCTCATCGTAAGAAGCTTTTGGAAGCTTCTCGAGCCATTCTTGAGCAATGTGCACCTCACACTCGGAGGAGCACGCATCAATGTCTTCAAGGCGATGTGAATCCGGGTCGATTAACCCGTGGTTGGTTAGAGCTTTGAGCAGAGTTTGGCCGGAGAGTCCAATAATCTCCCGTTTACAGCCCTCAGGGTCAACGGCGAAGAGCTTGACGATCCGATCGGCGACTTTGGCGGAGCCGGTGCGGGATGAACATGAGGATGCGGAGGATCGAGTAATTGAAAAAATCGAAGGGTTTCGTGCGATTCGTGAGGCGAATCTCTGCATATTAGCGACGGCCATCTTCGAATGTTAACCAATTTTGGGGGAAATGAGTGCCCTAAACTCTCCACTAGTGTGGAAGGAGAAAACTGTATTTTTAAAAATAATTGTCGGGTTTGGATCCGTTTGTGTACACCTCGACGCATCATAAATAATTATAACTCACTGTCCATCTAGGCTACAACATACGGAAAAAATCACTTTGTTTTTCTAGCCGTTTCAATTTATATGACACGTTTGATTAATTCATATAGCATAATTTTATTAGATACGAATTCAAAGAATCGAAGATGTTTGAAATTTATAATTCAAAAATCAATTATAATTATTTATATAGTTGTAAATCATTTCACTTTCTCTAGTTTACTCATCGAGAGTATTTTCTAAGCAATCATGAACGTGGAGTAAAAGCTGTTGAAATTGCTTCTTTATCAAACCAAGAGAACAAACTCGTTTATAGAAATGAAAAAAAGGGTAAAAAAATGTCTAAGTTTGATCTAAAAATACTTCGATCATCAATAATTTGGTTCAGAAAATGCTTATAGGCACCCCACCCCTCGACTCGAAAATCACAATGTAGATAGATTACTTTTATATATTACTCGTACTAGTATATAAGGATGAATACTGGAGAGAAATTGATGTGAGGTGAAATTATCATTTCTATTGCTGACAAGAATATATATCATGAAATATCCCACTCCTTTCTTTTCTCTTTTATAAAATTTTCATGTAGGAAATAAGCAAAATCTATCTTTTATCTCTGAAATCATTCTTCATATAATCAAATTTTCTTGCCCTGTAGCCAACTGTCGTAGAAATACAACGACTCTTGTGGTTTGTACTCTGGCACGGTGTGTCCAGATCCCTGAGGATTTCGGAAATCAATCAATTAAATCAAAGAAAAAATAGAAAAAAAAAAAAAACATTTCTTGATAAAAACATACCTTAATAGTCAGAAAAGTGAGGTTGTTGGCATAACCTTGTGTGTAACTGCAGAAAAGATTTAAGATGAATTTTACAGAATTGCAACACATTAGACATGAAAAAGATTTAGAATTAGGTGAAAACGCGAACATACCCTGCAACTTGTTGGGAACTGCAAAAAAGATTTAAGCATTTAGTATGAATTTTACAGAATTGGATCACATTAGAGAAGTTAAACATGAACATGATTTAGTAGGTGAAAACGCGAACATACCCTTGGATTTTTTCTTTCGTATACCAAGGCCTCCATTCATCCACGATTGCATATCCAAGTGAACTTGTCCATTTTTCTGAACCAGTGTATGGTACACACATATCGTGATCCCCACTGCAACAAACAAATGTGTTTTAGTCGATAGAATATACAGGAAATACATATAGACGATCAGTTTTCTTCTTTATATGTGTTTTAAATACCACGAGTAATACAGAAGAATGCATGTTAAGAGACTCAGTAATCTATTGAACCTGTATATGAGTGCCCGATAACCCTGAGTTGTAAGGTTTTTGTGATACGGAATCATGCTTCCAGCATCATGAGTGAAGTTTAAGTGTTTGCATAGCTCCCAAGGACCTGTCACAGTTGCCTGTTGTACCACAAGATTGAACCATAAATCGATCACCAATTGGTAAAAGTAAATCATCATCTTTAAAGTTAGTACAAGATGAGTAAATTGTATCTTACTGGTTCAGCATGAATTGCTTTACGAACATCTTCATTGTTTAGCCACGCAGTAGCAACAGTATCATCCTGCATATTTCATTTCAGATTATGTCTCTTAATGAGAATAAACAAAAGGAAAGAAAAAAATCAAGAGTGACTTACAGTGCAAAAGACATTATTATGATCGAGAAGCTCTGGCCAAGATGGGACAAGTCCCTCTCTTACTGGAGCATTAAAAGGCCAAGCACGGCCAAACATTCTGGTTCTGACAGGAAGAGGCCTTTCTGTCTCACCTAGTTTACGAAAGCTCATTGGCAATTCTGAGTTTTTGGTGCTAAAAGGGGTGTGGTAACACGGTTCTAGTATGTCATAAATGTTTAGTCCCATAACTTTCTGCAATAGGCAGAAAAAATGAAATTGGACCAATACAGAACAATGAATTGTTGTCACGACAAAATGAATCAAGCATCACAGAGTAACACCTTACCTGACTAATTTTTAATAGTAATGATGTACAATTCTGACTGCTTGAGATGTAGAAGTCTCCTTTGCATGCAGCAGTTGCATCCTGAGCATGAAAAAGAATAATCAGAGACCAGTTGCTAATATATTGGAGTGGTAAATGTATAAACATACATTAACATTTGCTTCGTAACATATTTTTTGACAGACTACAATTCTAAATAAGTTCAAGAGTCAAATGATTCAAGCACAAGAAGAAGCAAATACCTCGAATAATTTATCTGAAATGAGGCCCATACCATGTTGAAATGGAACAATAGCATTACCGTCTATCTTCTCATCTGTCACGCCATTTCCCACCATGTAACCCTGTACAATAGAACATATATAAAGAGTTTCAGCCCAGACAACTAGTTAAAATCTTGAAATGTATATACCTTAAACATGGACGCTGTTATCCCTGACCTTAAAGTTGATGACGGGATTTACTTTAGCATCGATACCTAAAAAAACATAAGCAGAAGGTTAGTTTGTTTATCCCCTGCCTAGCACCAACCAGTACATGTTCATTTATGATCCAGATTACCTTTTACTACTTCAGAAGCCAGAGTTGGCACGTATATTCCAGCATAAGACTCTCCAGATATGTAGAATGGGTTCTTGAGGAACTCCGGGTAGATTGCAAACCACTAGCAACAGCATCAGTTAGTAGAAACAAATAAACGAGCTAGGACAGATCTAGCGTAAAACTAGTAATGTTACCTTGAGGAGAAACGCATGGGTTTCGGTTGCAGTTTTTAAGTCTCCTGTATTATAGTCAGCTTTATTTTTCGAGTAAGATAATCCAACACCAACAGGAGAATCCAGATATATTATATTGGAAACCTGGAAGAATCAAATAATAATGAGTGACTAATGAAATGTAAGCATATGATAAAAGTAGAATTAACACAAATAATTACCTTTGACCAACTGTATGGATTGTTATGCAGAATAGGCAAGCTACCATTTGCCTTCCCCAACTCAAAATTAAAAGGTCCTGCAGTGTATACAACACAAGACTCAACTGTTATACTATTCATTACAAAATATAGGCATTTGTAAAAAAATCAAGTCTTTTGTCTAATCGAGTATATTGATTAGAGTATTATCATCTACAATCAAAATATTTTAACCCGCTCAAATTCAACTCAACCAGTAAAATTAAGAATTAAAGTTGTTACCATGCTCATAGACAAATCCATCAAAGCTTGAACAGCCAGGTCCACCATTAAGCCAAAGAACAACTGGATCATTTGATGGGTTTCTTTCAGATTCAATAAAGTAGTAATACATATTCTTGCCATGGCTTTCATCTAAATTAACATACCTGAAAACCCATTTCAAATAATATTAAAAAAAAAAGGTACAAAAATCAAAATAAAGTTTATTACATCTTTTTATCAAAAAACACAAAAAGAATACATACCCAGCATAATGTTTTGACAGCAATTTGCCAGTGAAGCCAGGGATTTGAGTTACCAGTGCACCCTGAGGTGCCCCTTCTGTTACCAAAAAACAAAATGCCAACAATGTTAACACTATAGTATACTCTAAAATAATGTTTTTTCTAGCCATGTTTGGTGTATCAAAATTCAGAATTATTTGATGTTTTCCCTAAAAGAACACAAATGATGGGGCTTTTATAGTGTGAGAAAATGAAGTGTGACATCATTATAATAACTATTCCATTAATATTTGGATTAATACAATCTAATTTAGTCTTAATATAGTAAAAAGTTAATTATGAATTTATGATTTATATTTTGAAATGTTTGACTGAGAAAATAACAAAAAAATAAAGTCTTATACATTTAAGGAATATTCATCAATTTATTTAAGTATTTGGATTTTTGGGATGTTGGACTGACAAAATGACAAAGTAGAAGTCTCTTATATTTATGAAATACAATAATACATCTATATCATATTAACTAATTCTATATTTATTTTCAAATTATTACAGATATGTTCATTAATTAAGAATTTTGTATCATATTTTAAGTTAGATACATTGAGGTGCAACATTCACTGAAAAGTAGCCCAAATTAGGATAATTGAATATCTGAATAAGTTTTGTATCCGACTCCTCTCCATTTTCCTCAAGTTTCTATTTGGATTAGTGATGCATAACATAAGTTAATTTAAGTGGTTAAGATTTAACTTCCCAAAACAAATTTCTAACCATGATTTAAATAATAAATATATTGTATAATTTGTTTTAAAAATGATTATAATCCCAAATCTTTGCAATATATTAATTATTATCTTGTTCATAATTATAGAAAAACAAGTTTTCTTCTTAAATTTTTTATGCAGGATCTTTCTTTTATTTTCTTGTTAAATTAATCTTTTTATTACATAACATACCAATTAATTAAGATACACCACATATCTGTTAGAACTCAAGTACAAATATATGGTGTTTAAAAGCAAAAAGCTTATTTGCTGTTTAGATTATAAATTTATTCCAAGTCTAATAAAGGGGGTGACTTACATACAACATCAATGAATTTCTAATGTTTTTTTTTAATATAGTTATGTAATAATATAAATGTATATTAAATATTAACTATTGATGATGTTTAATCAGCTATTGGTAAAAATTGTGAAATCATTTAGCTTTTTGGTTTTCGTTTACACCTACTTAATCAACACAAGAACAATAATATCATACCCAGTGTAATTCCTTAAAGACTTAGTAATCTATTATGAACGTGTATATGATTGTTTGATATCCCGAGCTGTGAGATTTTTGTGATACGGAATCACACTTCTAAAATCATACAAAAATGCATCCCAACCGCCAATAATTTGGTAAAAAAAAGCTAATTGGCACCCCTGGCTCGAAAATTACAATGTATATAGTGTGGGAGATGAATATTGGAGAGAAATTGATATGAACATGCTTTAACAGAGAAATTATCATTTTTATTGCTGATAGGAATATATATCTTCAAATACATTGTAAAATTCCAATATCCCCTCTCTTTTATAAAATTTTCCTGTAGAAAATAAGAAAAATCTATCTTTTATAAATAATTGAACTTAATGTCTACTAATTAAGTCTTCATTCTTCATATTATCATATCTTCTTGCCCTCTAGCCAACGTTCATAGAACTCCAATGCCTCTAGTGGTTTGTACTCAGGCACGGTGTGTCCAGCTCCCTGAAAATATCCGAAATCAATCAATTAAATAAAAGGAAAAAAAAATAGAAAACGAAAAAATATTTCATGATATAAACATACCTTAATAGTCAGAAAAGTGAGGTTGTTGGCATAACCTTGTATGTAACTGCAGAAAAGATTTAAGCATTTAAGATGAATCATACAGAATTGCAACACATTAGAGATGAACAAGATTTAGAAGGTGAAAACGCGAACATACCCTGCAACTTGTACGTATCTGCAAAAAAGATTTAAGCATTTAGAATGAATTTTACAGAATTGAACCACATTAGAGAAGTTAAACATGAACATGATTTAGTAGGTGAAAAACGCAAACATACCCTTGAATTTCTTCTTTCGTATACCAAGGCCTCCATTCATCCACGATTGCATATCCAAGTGAACTTGTCCATTTTTCTGAACCAGTGTATGGTACACACATATCGTGATCCCCACTGCAACAAACAAATATGTGTCTTAGTCAATGTCTATTCGTGTTTTACATGAGTAATACAGGAGGATGGAAAAATGAATAATAAGAGACTCAGTAATCTATTGGACCTGTATATGAGTGCCCTATATCCCCGAGTTGTGAGGTTTTTGTGATATGGAATCATGCTTCCAGTATCATGAGTGAAGATTAGTTTGTTTGAGCAAAGCCGCCAGCGACCTATCACAGTTATCTGTTGTATAACCATAAATCGATCACCAATTATATTTTTTTTTGGAGTAAAGGTAAATCATCATGTTTAAAGTTAGTACAAGATGAGTAAATTGTATCTTACTGGTTCAGGATGAATTGCTTTACGAACATCTTCATTGTTTAGCCACACTGTAGCAATACGATCACTCTGCATATTTCATTTCAGATTAGATGTCTCTTAAAGAGAATAAACAAAAGGAAAGAATAAATCAAGAGCGACTTACAATGCAAGGGACGTAGTTTGTATGTTTGAGAATCTCCGGCCAAGATGGGACAAGTCCCTCTCTTACTGGAGCATTATAAGGCCAAGCACGGCCAAACATTCTTTTTCTGACAGGAAAAGGCCTTTTTGTCTCACCTAGTTTACGAAAGCTCATGGGTAATCTTGAGTTATCAGTGGTTACATCAGGTACAGTGTTGTGGTAACATGGTTCTAGAATGTCATACGTGTTTAGATCGTCAACATTCTGCAATAGGCAGAAAAGGTGAATGTGGATCAATAAACCAGAACAATGGATTGTTTGAATCAAACATGACAAAATAACACCTTACCCGATTAATTTTACCTTGCATATCTTTACAATGCTGACTCGTTTCATTGTAGAAGTTTCCTTGGCATGCAGCATTTGCTTCCTGAGCATGAAAAAGAATAATCAGAGACCAGCTCCTAATAATTTGAAGTGGTAAATGTATAAACAGACATTACCATTTGCTTCGTAACATATTTTTTGACAGAGTAGAATTCTAAAATAAGTTCAGAAGTCGAATGATTCAAGCACTAAAAAATTAAACAAGAAGAAGCAAATACCTCGAATATTTTATCTGAAATGAGGCCCATACCATGTTGAAATGGAACAAGAGCATTAGTGTCTATTATATCATCTGTCACGCCATTTCCCACCATGTAACCCTATGCAATAGAACATAAAGAGTTTACAGCCCAGACAACTAGTTAAAATCTTGAAGTGTATATACCTTAAACATGGACGGTTCAATGTAATCAGTGGCCTAAAGCCAACCATTAAGTAAATGTCTGAAGTATATTGAATAAAATCATCCCTGACCTTAAAGTTGATGGCGGGCTTTACTCCAGCATCAATACCTAAAAAACATAAGTAGAAGAAGGTTAGTTTCTTAATCCCCTGAACACCACCAATCAATACATGTTCATTTAAGATCCAGATTACCTTTTGCTATATCAGAAGCCAGAGTTGGCACGTATATTCCAGCATAAGACTCTCCAGATATGTAAAATTGGTTCGTGAGGAACTCCGGGTAAATCTCAAACCACTAGCAAGAGCATCAGTTAGTAGAAACCATAAACGAGCTAGGACATAAAACTAGTAAATTTTGTGCAATGTTACCTTGAGGAGAAACGAATGGGTATCGGATGCAGTCTTTAAGTCCCCTGTGTCATAGTCAGCTTTATCGTTCGAGTAAGATAATCCAACACCAACAGGAGCATCCAGATATATTATATTGGAAACCTGGAAGAATCAAATCATAATGAGTGACTAATGAAATGTAAGCATATGATAAAAGTAGAATTAACACAAATAATAACCTTAGACCAACTGTATGGATTGTTATGCAGAATAGGCAGGCTATCATTTGTCTTTCCCGCCTCAAAATTAAAAGGTCCTGCAATGTATACAACACAAGAATCAACTGTTACATGAATTGTTAACATTATTCTTTAAAAATTATAGACATTTGTAAAAAAATCAAGTCCTTTATCTGATTGAATATTTCAATTAAAATATTATCATCTATTCAGAAAATGAGTCTTAACCATCAGAATGATAATTCAAGTTTAAGACTATTATGTTGGTTCAATTCTTTATTTAAAAAAAAATATAAATTAGACCTTAATTGATCTACGACAACATCAATATGCATATTCATAAGTAAAATTTTATTAATAGAAATTAACTACAAATAATAATATATCAAACTGATTTTGATGAGAGAACAATAGTAATACTACTTGTGAGATTCATTCCGATAAGTTGTACACACACGTTAACAGATTTTGGGGTCCCTTTTTCTAGATCAATTCGTTATCTAACAAAATTTCTTTCCTTTTATTGTAAAAAAAAAATCTTTAATTTTTTTTTTTTTAATATAAGAAAATTATACAAATTTATTGATAAAAAGTGGGAGCCAAAAGCCGGCTCCTTGTATACAACAACAAACAACAAGAACAATATAAAGAAGTCGGAATCTGGAGAGGGTGGAGTATACACAAGTGTCAAAATTAGCCTATGAAATTTTAATCTGCCCAACCCGTTCAAGTTTAGGTTGATTACTACCCCGTTCATTTATTAGTTCAATCCATCAAAGTTTAGACTAATATCTAGCCCTGATAATCTATAAAAAATCTAGTCAAAATATTTTAATCCGCCCAAATTCAGCCCAACACGTAAGTAGAAGTAGAGTTGTTACCATGCTCATAGACAAAGCCATCGAAGCTTGAACAGCCAGGTCCACCATTAAGCCAAAGAACAACTGGATCCTTTGATGGATTTCGTTCAGATTCAATAAAGTAGTAATACAAATTCTTGCCATGACTTTCATCTATATTAACATACCTGAAAACCCAAACATTCAGAAAAATACAAAAATCAAGATAAAGTTTACATCTTTTTATCAAAAAACACAAAAAGAATACAAACCCAGCATAATGTTTTGAGTGAAAAGTGCCAT